AAAGGAAAAAAAAAAAGGTAGACTTAAATCTCACTATATCAATAAGGGATAAAACACACCATTTGAAAGCAAAAATTATCTGGGCCCTCCCAGGTGGCAGCGGGTTAAAGCACAGCACTAAGAAGCTAAAGCCACTTCAGCATGAGTTTGATCTCCATCCCAGAGGTGACCACATGGTGCGGTAGACCTCTCCTGACCCACCCACTCCTCCCCTCAGCAGTGTACTTCGTAGATATGCCTGTCCTGCTCCCCACTCTGTCTCAGGTGAATCCTCTCGCCGCCCCTGCACCTCTGGCTGGTACACCAGTTCTGTATGCACAAATAAATATATCTTAAAAAAAAAAGGCAGAAATTATCAGAATTATTTTTTTTTAAAAAGAAAGAATCAGCTATGTGCTCTTTATAGAAGTCATGTAATAAATATAAAGCCAGATAGGTTGAACATACATGGATGAAAAGAGGTGCCATGTAAACTGTATGTCTAAAAAGGGTGGAGCGGACCTACTGTTGATACATTATACTAAAAAGTAGACTTTGAAACAATGGTTATTACTACAGTTAATAATAATAATTGGCCAATTTATGAGAAACATATGGCACTTGTGAATAACAGAGCTTTCACATGCATGAAGCAAAATGGGTCAAACTGAACAAATGCATAGTTCACAGTTTACAGGCATTAATCCTTCTTATACAGCAATTGATGATTTAGCTACCAGGTAAAGAGATCATGAAAGTCAAAATGTCTGAGCAACACTATCAACCAGCATGACCACATGATATTTATAAAGCACTCCACCCACAACTGCAGAATACACATTATTCTCAAGTACACATGGCACCATTAAGTATGCTAGACTATAGAACAAGTCTCAAAAAAGCATTGAAAACATACAGCCTATGTTCTACAATCACAATGCTATTAGAAATGTTAGAAAAACTCAAATATCTAGAAATTTTAAAATGCACTTATAAATATCCCATGGGTTGCTGTCACTGTTCATAGTGTTTCAGAAATCACTTAGTATTCATGTGATATGTTGTGAAACATATTTTGATATGAACAAGACTTGAGGCCATATAGGTAAACAGCTTTTCTAAAATGCATGAAAAAACTTTCAACATTTAACCCCCCCACCATGTATTTTATCTGTTAATGTATCCCAAGCATTAAAACTACATCAGAATTTTAACTTTTGTTACAACCTGGTTACCTAAATGTAAACCGCCTATCTAGCCTCCTACATTCATATACACATGGATTTGTTCACTCCTCTTGTCCTCACGTTCCTCTCTATTATCCAAAAGTCTAATCTGACATTTGTTGAAAAGAATCAGCTTCCATATTCCACTGAATTAAGAAAAGCTGCTATGAAACTTTGAGACTTGCTATTGTATTTATTGTTGAGCATACTGGAAATGAGAATAATAAAAAAAATACATTTGAATTTAGGTGCCCATTATGAAGACAAAATACCAGTGTTTAGAAGGTGTGTTCCTGTCAAGTGCTCCATGCTTTTAAGTATGAGTTCTTAATCAACTACCAGCTTCATTCCATAGCTTGATCTGGAACGTGTAACTATAAGGCATGAACATCTTCAACCCTCCTACATCAAGGGGAAAAAAACACAGAATGCCAGTTCATCTTGCCCCCCAAAATGTGAAATCTACCATCTCACTAATCCTTCATCCTGTGCCTGCCTCATTTCTCAACTCATTGCCTCCTACTCCCCTCTTCAGGAAAGAGTTCCAAAGATGGTTTGACACTGAAGTGTATGTTAGGCCAGTGGTGCTTAAGCTGAGCATCGGAATCACCATGAGGACTTGTTCAAATAGTTTGCCATGTCAGACTCAGAGATTTTGATTTCAAAGTTTGGCCCTGATCCTGAGAGTTCGCATTTCTAATAGCTGCTGAAGCTGATGCTGCTGGTCTGAGGTCCACACTTGGAGAAACTTTGGGTTTTGCTGGTAAAGGGGAAAGAGAATGCTAAGAAAGTGCCAGGATTTACTCAAAGGATTTTTTCTGTTTTAAGAAACAGAAACACCCCCAGTGTACTGAGAAACTGCATTGTGGTCAGCAACAAATCCTGCAGGGCATTCAGATGCACACTGAAGTATGGGAACTGGTGCTCTCAGTAATATTCTAGCTTTCTTAGATCTGTTCTTTGATGGGGTGATGGGACTGACAGTTGGTCAATATTCTACGGTCAATACCCATAATTCAGTGTTCAGAGTCCTGCTAGCAAATTCTTACAAGAAGAATATTTGCCTTTTTTTAAAAAAGTATGTAAGGTATGGTGTCAGAATCATTTTATAAATTATGGGTCCACATTTTATTGGCTCTCTTTCAGAGAATAATACAATCAAAATGATGCATTCCTATTTGGTGCAGTAATCCAAATTCTCAACCAGTAGCTATCAGGCTGTGGTCTAAATGCTGAACTTTTTAAAGACATAGACACATTAGGATGAGTTTATTATCAACCTTTAAAAAATATATTCTTCGTGCATATCTGCTTATTTTCTTATTCAAACATTTTCAAACAGTAACTTCCCACCAAGATATGTTATATACTGAATGACAAAGAGTTGAGCAAAACACAAGCCACTTTCTTTATGAAAGCCATAAAGGTCTGCAGAAAATGAGCATAAGGGATCTCAGTAACCTTTGGACCACACAGTTGTATGGTCTTCTGCCAGGAGACTCAAATTTCACTGCAGAACTTTGTCCTTGACCTACTGTGTCAGAAAGTTAGGGAGTGGGGGCTGGGTATCAGATGGCCAGCTATCAATTTTAAGTCCTTTGGATGATTCCCATACATGCTCAAGTCAGAGACAGCAATCCAGAGATTTTTCTTAGATCCCAGTCCACTCTAAGAAGCCAATGAAAACAGTGTTTTGCATCTAACTGTGGAGTGAACTGTGAAGAATCACTTTAAAGACTGATATTGCCAGGCCCTTATTTTACAATTAAGCCAAAGTGATCTGCTAATTAAGGGCAGAATGGTGCATCCAAGCTCAAGCCCACCAATTCTAAGTTCATCTCTGCTTCTCTGCTTACACAGCAGAAGGAAGTATAAGCTCTGCCATAGTAATTGGATTGTTTTTAAAACATCTTGACAACATAAAATGAGACGAATTCTTCACAGGCTTGATTTTCTATTTTGTAATAACTGCTGAGGAAATTTGTGCATTCCGACATTGACCGAGAAAGATATATGACTAAGAATTATTCTCTGTACTAAAGGAGAATAGAGCAACATTTTGGTTCATTAAAAAATATTGTTTCATGTCTCCCTGAAAGAAATGGGTATTGGTGTAGATAGTGTCCACTTAATCATAAAAATCTTTACCCATTTCAAACACAGGCTAAAGATTTCTATGCTGTCAACTCCGGAGAATGATTTCCCCTGAGGAGGTGGAGGTTTTATGTGGCGCTTCTGGGATGCCCCTGATGTTTGCTTTCTCAAACCTGATTACAGTTTGCCCAGTTTCTATTCAAGCTGTAAACCACACGTTTTACTACAAATCAGTAAGTATTAAAACCCACATGAATAAACAACTAAGGTGTAATATTTCATTTCCCTTACCTTACAATTATATTAATTGAATTTTAATTCTATTAATTTAAACTTTCAGAAGTTCATGGATATTTTTAATCTTACTGAAATGTTGCTATGACCTATGCCCACCTGTGTAAAATGCATTCAAAGATATAAATGCAAATCCAGAAAGACCACATTGTAATTATTAGTATAATCCTTCTCAAATTTCTATTTTTACTAAATAACAAAGATTTGATGTAGGCAAATTTTAAATGATTATTTTTTAACAGCAAAAACTCACAAAATACCTTATGTTTAACAACAGAGTGATAATGCCCCATCCATACCAAGAACAATGGTATGCATTGTTAACTCATGGTTCTGAAGAATAGTTATTAATCTGGAATGTTATAGGATACTATTTAATAAAGAGTAGGATAGAAAACTGATATAAAATGGATGTAATCTTTAGAATTAAGCAAAAGCCTATTTGTAAAAATATAAAAACATGAGTGCTTGTCTATGACAGAATAGTTTTCTTCCAAAAGCTTTTTATTTTCCCAAATAAACATGCATTAATTAAAAATTGTTACTTCTAAAGAAGTCCAAGTATGTTAGAAAGAGTAAAAAAGAATATTTTCCTTCCCTTAATCTCCTCCCAGTCTTGCCCAAGAACCCATTTGTCACATCACCATATTTGTCTTATTAATTTTCCCACACCTACGAGTAAAACATTTTACCTTAATTTTCACACATCTTCAAATAGTAATTATCTTTACATGTCAGTTGCTCATATGAACTGACTATATTTGCTTTCTTTTCTGGTTTTTCTTGTTAATTTATAAATATTCTTCATATTATATTCATGTTAATTCTTTATTATTCTTTAATGCTTTCTTAAAAGTATTTTTTCCTAATCTGTTGAAGCTCTACTGCTCCTATTCAGTGTTTACTTGTATGGCTTTGATTAAGGTAAACAATTCAAGTCATTGAATTAGTTTTTTTCTTTTGTTTTTTTGCTATGTTTCCCCCCATGCCAAGGTTACAAACACATTTCCTACATTTTCTTTTATTGTTTTAGTAAAGACATTTAACCTATTCAGAAACAATTTTAGTATTTACATAGGTCCTCCTGTGTCAGCACTTTTGAAGATGGTCCTGAGTAGTCGCTTCTCACTGTCTTCACACCTGACACAGCCCTTTCCTACATCAGATAGGCGCCCATTAGTACATCAGACCTATGCCAATGGGAATATAACTATATGTTGATTTCTATTTTACTACAACAATAACTGAAATGTATTACTTTTGATCAAAATAACAGAATTGTTCCTACAAATGACAAGAAATACAGCCCTTCAAAATTCTTGATAGGAAAAAAGGCATAACCCTGAATGCCTCTGTACAAAATGTGATATAAAGAAATAAAAGCTTGAGAATATAAGCCCAGATTTTTAAAAAGCCATTTATTTAAAAAAAAAACTGGTTTGTCAAATCATATACACGAGCAGTACACAACTACCACAGTGGCCCTGGAATAGACACCAGTGGGGCATTCACCACACAGTACCTGAAAAATACAGCTAAAAAAGAGGAGTCTGTTGAGTACTTAATTTCAGATTCCTACTTGACTCCTGTTGAATGGCTTTGAGTTAGCATATAGTGAGTGAGAGGTAGAGTCCCAAGTATAATAGCTGATGCCTCAGGGCTCCATATAAAAACAAAACAAAAACAAAAACCATTTCCCCCTCTGTACAGGGAAGCCTACTCTATTCTTTATTTCCTTTGTGAAAACAGAAGCCAAGTTTCTCTTCTCAAATGGTTCAGCATTCCCAAAGTGTTGTGTGGTGACCTAGGTATTGTGCTTCTTGCTTGAGCATCTAATTTTCCTCACCTTCTGATTCAGACTCTAGGAAAGAAGAGACAAGTCAGGATTATTTTTGATTCTTCTATGACTCTATCAAATAAGGTGATGAAAGAGTTCCTACCCTCAGCCCAAGGACATTTTTCCTCTGGGTATCCAATTACTGGCCAAGAGAGTCAGCATAGAAGGGCAAAGTTACTTTCATGCTTCTGGATTATCAAAAATAAACTTTTCAAGCCTAGTTGATATCACTTTCATTCATTATTATTCTTTCACTTTGTGTCACCATTTTAATTACAGTCAACTAGGAAAGGTGTCATAAAAATTCATAGAATGCCACAATGTGTAATCAAATCAAATGTAATTTCTTTTTTTCATTTCAAATCTGGTGATTATTTGTTCTTCTTTGTTCTCCAAGAGTGCATGATTTAAGAGGTTGGGTTTTGTTGTTTATCATATGGAAATTTTCATTGCCTTGTATTCAGAAAGGAAGGCTAAGCTGTAGCAAAATGTTTGATATGGAGGATAGTGCAAGAACTTCATTATCAGGAAGGCAAGAAAAATCTGTAGTTTATCTTGCATTATAATGAGGCAGTATTTGATGTTAAGTGGAATCTTACCTTCCTCTGCATTTTGTAACCACTCAACAAACTTCTTCATCTGGTCAAGAAAAACACTTTTGCCTTTGGCAACATGTGCTTCTTTGTACCACTTCAATATTGCTTCTTCACTCAGCACATCAGCTGAAATATCAAACAGAAGACTATAAGTTATTCCATAAATATCATGTTTTAAAGCAACTTCATGTCTTACAGTTTAATGGATATCAATCAACTTTGCTATCTGAGAAGACAGGAACCATACACTCTTCCCATACAGAATACAGTGCCATTTATCAGCAGTTAGCCTGCAAAATTTTTAATATGGTGGTGACACATATCTCATCAGATTGTGTGTATCCTATAAATAGATAGGTTTACTTTAAACCTATAAATGCAAACCTATAAACAAGTCACTACTGGAATTTGGGAATCTCTGACAGGAAACTGAGTTATTTTGTCATTTTGTAAGTGAATCAACAATTCCAGTATTTAGAACACTCATTTGGTAAGTAAATCAACAATTCCAGTATTTAGAACACTCTGTAACCTGCCAATGAACCTTGATTAAACAGCAACCTCAAATGACTGTCTTTTAAGAGAAATTATCTTTTTTAGCATAAAATAGGTAAATGAAAAAATTCTAGATAAGATGCAATGTTAACAACAGATATAAAGATAAACCTCCTTGGTGCATCATATAATCAATAAACAAATAATCTAAAATTCTACACTCACTTATCACTGAAACACTGATTTATTTTCCTAGAGCCTAATATTTTAAATCACAAGAATGTTTCCTTGTACTATACCCACAGAAAAAAATCAGACACAGCAGATTCCCTACAGGGTCTTGA